AATAGGATTGCCAACATGATCGCCAATGTCTGATGACGGATATGGCACAAGAAGAAGAAGAAGAGTGTTCATGTAATTTATTTATTGAAATACTAGGTGCAGGCAAAAGTTTAGCATTCCAAACAGCTGTCAATCTAATATTTTCTTAAGAGTACTCAAAAAGGTCTGTGAGTGGTGTTCTTAAAATGATCCTGCTGAAGCCTGTCATTTACTTTCTTCAAGCACACAAGATGAACTACCCTTTCTTTGTCATATATTAACCTATTTACAATGAGTATAATTGTATAAAATGGCTGCCATTTTCATTACTACTTTCCTTAACTGCCCAAAGGTCTTCTACTCTCAAACAATTTCGCATATTCTGTTTTCTTTTCCTTTATGTCTCAAATTCCTTCCAACTGTTCCATTTTTTAAAAAAATCCCTTCCAAAAATCAATACCACTCCTTTAAGAGAGTCTGAAACTCTTAATGATAAGTCAAAACTTATCATTAAGAAGGAAATTATTTTTGTGCTTCCATTGCCTCTTCCAATCCATCTTTTTCTCTACTGTTTTGTTGTTACTAGCTGTATCACAATAAATAAATAAACCAAATACCAATGCAGACTTATTCATTTTTATCAATGACATCATTTGGGAATGGAAACTATTTTAGATAAATAAATCTATATAAGAATAATTATGGTGTATTCTTAACTTCACTTATCTAAAACTTCATACCCCAAGGATGTAGAATTGCATTAGAATGAATGAATAATGAATTACGTTTGCTCATTCAACTAGACTGGGGCTCTTTTTTTTTTTTATTTGATTTATATGCCGCCCTTCTCCGGAGACTCAGGGCGGCTTACAATGTCCTAAGCAATAGCCTTCATCCTTTTGTATATTTATACAAAGTCAGCTTATTGCTCCCACAACTGGGTCCTCAATTTTAATTTTTTCATTAATCTTATCTGGATTTCTAAAAAAATCAGTATCTTATTTATGTATTTTTTTCAATTTTACTCTCTTTTTCTTATTATGCAAGATTAGAAAACTAAGCAATAGAGCAGTACATTTTAGATAATTGATATCAGATATAAATGCTTGCTTAGTTCAAAGCATTTAAAAGGTAACACAATTTAAAATATTAATTCTCTGATTTTAACCACATTTTATTAAGACCAAATTTATTAAGATTTTCTGCATGAATGTACTATTCATGGGCACTGTTAAAACTGGAAGGGGAGATGGGGATCTTCTTCCTTCATGCTGTGCTTCTTGGAGGCCAGCTTTGGAGAGCTGAAGCCCTCTCAGCAGCATCTGAAGTATCCCAGGGAGAATTGATAGAAAACAAAACACATTTATTTACTATCAGAGAATTGCCAATGGGTTTTAATCAATTCCATGCAGACATTTCTCGGTTATAATAATATAAATTATAAATGTAATAGCCTTATTGGAGAAATATCTTTTTCTGCTTGAATAGTTACGAATGGCAATAATATTTAGGTGATAAGGCAGCATATTTGCAAATCAACTGAATTTACTTTCATATAAACTGTTTAAACAAGCACATAAGCCTAAACAGTTCTTGGAGATCAGCCAGACTAGCACTTCAAATCTACATTTGTTTTAAATTATACCTTTTCTAACTACCCGTATCATAGAATTTGCTTCTTTACAGCTGCTGCACACTGTGCAGATTATTTCACTGAACTATTCCAGTGATCTAAACATCTGCTTGTTGTTGGTTGACTTGTGACAGTTCAGTCCCCAACATTTTGTAAATGAAGCATGGATTCCTAGCTCAATATACATTATACTTCCTGACATTGACTTGCATTTGCCATTTTGGGGTCCTTTCACTAAATTTGAAGAGATACTTTTAAAGTACTAAAAACAGCTACTCTAGCAGCACTCAAAACATCTATTTTAATTATAGAATTCTTGCCAACTTTTAGATACATACATTTGTCCCTTAGACACATGTAAAATTATGTTCAGATTTATAATTCATCTCAGAAGATACAGTATACAATGAAAGTTCTTGAAGTCCACTCTAAAATCATGGTTCTCTCCAAAGAGTTAATATGTTAATGTTTTAAAAATAAAACATTCTGTTAGGAAATCCCCCCACCCTTTTCTCAAATGGGTTACTATGATGTACAAAGAATCAGAATAAATTAAAATGAAAATCAACAGTAAAGATAATATTATGGTTAAAGCATTAGAAAGCATTAGACAGTGCTGAAACACCACAACAGCAAAATATTTTCATAGTGATTCAGACAGAGGAACACTTGAAAAAACAAAAATTGACAAGACTATTTGCTTTAAAGTTTTTTTTAGCAAGGCCTTGTACAGAGTTGCATATAAAAATTAATAATAGGCCCACATGGACAATTAGAATGTTCAAATTATTTGTTACCATGTTTTCCCCAAAATAAGACCGGGATTTATATTAATTTTTGCTCCAAAAGACGCATTATGGCTTATTTTCTGGTTAGGTCTTATTTTAGGGGAAACACAGTACTAAATGCCTCTGTCTGCTGACGATCTTAATTGGGGCTTATTTTTGGGATAGGGCTTATATTACGAACACCCTGAAAAATCATGCTAGGGCTTATTTTTCAGTTGGGTCTTATTTTCAGGGAAACAGGGTATGAGGGGGACAATAAGGGAAAAACTAATTATTTTATATACTAATTATTTTAACAATTCCAGTCTAGAGAAAATCCCATTTTCCTTCCATTACATTTCCTTGCTCCTCACAAATTATGAACATGTTAAGTTGCTATGTCAGACATCTATATTCCCACCACAAATGTTTGGAATGTCACACTTTCAGACTGAAGCCTACATAAACACATATCCTCTGATCATATATTACTTTTTCCTTCATAATAGTGCAATTAATTAACCAGCAAGGCCTTTCAACCTGTAAATTTAAAGTAGTCAGAAAAGTGCTCTAGTATCTAAATTATTGTTATAATAGGATGGTAAAATACAATAATTAGAAATCGGTCTTTACTGATCACTGGACTATAGGCATCTATAATCTTGTTGCTTTTGTCAAAATGATGCTCTTTCTTACTGCTACACTACCCTCCTGCCTGCGACCTGCCTGCACCAGACAGACCATGAATTGAGCTTCACTAACAGGATGGTTTTACTTGATTTATCCCAAAATAAGATTTCATTCCTTCCACTGATAGTCCTTGTTTACCAAAAGCCCCACAGAGCAACCATTTGAATTACAATAGTGATGAAAAAAGCAACTAATCCTTGTATTTATTAACTTTGCAGGTCTGTAAAGCAAAGGAAAGCTGAAGTAATATCATAACCCTAACTCTTGCAGGGGACTTTTGTCCAACCTCTTTGAGAGCAAAAGTGCTGTCTGACAGACAGACCGTGTGAGGCAGACTCTCTCTCTACCAAGCAGTGCTCTCGTCAAGGATCACTGAAAAATGTCTGTCCTGAAATCCAAGGAGAAATTTCAGGATGGCTAGTGACTTCTGATCTTCCCTGCCAGCTTCTCTGCTCTTTCTGGTTAAGCCAGTAGGAAAAATTGCAAATAGCCGTCACTTGACTTCAGAGCACCGAATATCCAGATCACCATCAAATAACCGTGGGGAGCGCTGCAATGGTTGTCCTAATTTCAAATGGTCACTGAATGAATGGTTGTTAAATGAAGGCTATCTATATAATATCTCTCCAAATTCTATAGGATGGGATAGGGGATTATAAATGCTGACTTAATATATAAATAAATAAAATGCATCCTCTTGGAGTCTTTCGCAAAGCCTTACCTAACATCACAGATTGTGATTTGTGATTTACAACCACAAAAGCGGCCAACATTTCCATTGTTAAGGAAGACAGCTGTTTAGTGAATTGAATCTAATTTTATGATTTTTGCCAGAGTTGTTAAGCAAATCACTGCGCACAGTGAATCGCACAATTGTTAAGTGAATCTGGCTTTCCTCTCCACACTGACTTAGCTTGTCAGAAGCTAATTAAGATTATTAATAGTGGTCATATGACTCCAGGATGCTACAACAATTGTAAATACATGCCAAGTGCCTGAATATTGATCATGTGACCATGGGGATGCTGTGAGTGTTGTAAGTGTGAGGACTAGTTGTAAGTCACTTTTTTCAGTGCCACTGTAACTGAATGGTCGCTAAATGAATGGTTGTAAATTGAGACTACCTGAACTTATATTTTGAATCACAGAAACTTCCTGAAGAAGAATTAAGGCAAAAAAAAAAAAAAAAGGAATTCCATGTCTCTATGAATCTGAGACACTATGCAGAAATATATACTTATGTAAGAAGCTAATTGTTAACATATTTTTAAGTATTTGTACTAAGAACTTAAATAGTTTTAATATTGAGAAACAAAACACAGCGTAAAAATATTTCAAAATCGAGTAAAGATATTCATTTCAGACAGTTAATACATGAAATCAGGTATACAATAAAAATATTCAGTGAAGAAATAAAGTTTTCATAAATTTTAACACTGGGGGAAATATCCAGCCTTTTCTTCTACAATTTTAAGAAGATTGGGAGGGAAGGGAAATGAAGTTGTTGTTTAAAAAAAAAACCACGTTGTTTATTTAATGTCACGATTAATGGGACTTGTGCTATTTTCAGCAGCATATATACTAAAATTGGAATAATGCCATTAATGGGAACTAATGTATTATGTATATTTTATAAATAATCATGTTTTAAACTTGGGAGATTTAACAGCTGTCTAATAACTTTGTGATTTCATATATGTCTGTGGCCTTAATTTTGGCAAAACTAATTCCCTATTGATATTAATAGTAAGTGACAATAAGCTGTTGTAGAAAAGTTACTCCTTTAAAAAAATACCAGACATTTTTCAGCTATTATGCTGTAGACATCCATGGACACTTCATATTATGTATTTCATTATCTACAGATGAAAAAATTGATTCCCTCCCCCCTTAATATTCTTTAAAAGAAACAACACTGTTTTTATACTTACCATTCCATGATTCAGCCAAGTTGGTATAAAATTATCAAGAAGCTTGGGGTAAACAAGTTCTCTGTCATAGATATAGATGCTCCAAAACATTAGCACAACAAACTGGGGCAAAGAGAAAAGAATACATATATATATATTCAGGTATATAAAGTCACACTTTTATTTTAAGAATTACATTTTATCAATATCAATTGATACTGATCAACCAGTTACTATTGTTCTGTTGTGTATACTTTTAATGTACAAAGTAGTTTAAATCTAGGTTGGCTAGCTTATACATATGTGGGTAGTCTTCACTTAGCAATGGTAATTGGGACTGGCAACCCCATAGTTAAGGACAACTGCCTTGGAGCAATTTCAGTTGTCATTGTTAAGCTAATTCCACATGGCCGCTAGGCATGGCATCACATGACCTCCATTTGCATCCTCCTGCCAGCTTCTCAACTGACTTTGCTTGCTGGAAGCTTGCCCTGAAAATTGCAAGTGGTGATCATGTGACTGCAGGATGCTACTACGACTTTTATAATTGTGAGCCAGTTGCCAAGTATCTGAATCATTGTCACATGACTGTGGGGACACTGCAATAACTGCAACTACAAGGACTGGTAGTAAGTCTCCTTGTCCAGTGGTATGGTAAATTTGAATGATTGCTGAATGAATGGTTACTTTTTTCAGTGTTGTCATAACTTTGAATAGTCATAAATCGAGTATTATCTGTATTCATACTGTACTACAATCTATATTATATGCAATTTGAGTGATATTTTGGATATAGTAGTTTCCACAAATAACCCATTAGATTTGGTCCTTTAGGGTCATGCATGAACTAACTGAATCTTAGCAGATTCATCCCTCTAAATAGACATACTTGAAGTACTAAACTATACCACACTTTATAAGTATCACAGTTTATTCTTGCTCAATGCAGTTTACACTCAGAGTAACTATGAACAAATGACCCTGAGAAATATGCGAACCCTATATATTCTAATGTAAGATGCTGAGTTGCCTACTTGAGATATGCTTGACAGCAGCACACTAGCAATCGAAATAGCACTTAGACTTATATACTGCTTTAAAGTGCTTTACAGCCCTCTCTAAGTGGATTAGAGAGTCAGCATATTGCCCCCAACAATCTGGATCCTCATTTTACCGACCTCGAAAGGATGGAAGGCTGAGCCAACCTTGAGCAGGTGAGAATTGAACTGCTGGCAGAATTAACCTGTAATATGGCGTTCTAACTACTGTGCCACAATGGCTCTAACTATAAAGATGTTATAAAAGGGGAGTAAGTACAATGCTGGACATAGTACTGATAATCATTGACTTACAATGGAATTGGGCCTTCTGTTGTTAAGCAATGAAATCTGCTTAGCAATGGCAATTATCACAGTCTTGGTTGCCATCATTAGTATTATTAGGTGAGGCAACTTCCTCCTGGCAACCTGCAATCAAAGTCTGTGGACAAGCCTGCAGGAGGTTGCAAGTCCCAGGCTAAGATGCATGCGAGGCATGCCATGGTTAGGATTCACAAAATTGTAGGGGGGAGCCAGAAAGGCATGGGGTGATTCGAAGCGAATGTGTGAGGGAACATGCGAAGCATAGTGAGGGTCCAGAAGGGTATGCAAGACATATGCCATGGATCACGGAAGAGAAAGTGCATGAAGATACGAGGGAGTGAATGACAGGTGCTACACGTCAGGGAGGGTATGCAGTGACGCGCAAGGGTGTGCACCAGGCACCATATAGATCAAGGACGATGTGCGAGGCATAGATCATAGAGGGTACACAAGGGTGTGCAAAAAAGGTGCTGTGTGGGGCAGGGAAGGTATATGGGTGACTGGCACAATATGAGTGCAGAGGATATTCCTTGTCAAGACTCCATGATAGGTAAGGATTTTGGCTTATTTCTCCAAAATTCAGTGTTACATTTGAGGATTTTCTAGTTTAAACTACTGAACAACCTCTAAGTTTTCTGTGGACTTTAGATTCGGAGTCTGACTTTGTCATTCTAAAACACTCCATTTGTTCTTCTTCTGTTCTCTTGCAGCCTTGCTTGAATGTCTGGAATCAGAGCGTGAATCATGTATGCTTTAGCTTATGATTGGTTAGTTGATATTAGGGAAGTTTATGCTCCAAGACAGAAATCCATTTAAGAGCTGATGCAGATGCACATATACTACACTTGTCATACTTTCCTTAAAAAAGCGGTGCCTTTTCCTGCCTTGCATAGTAACTCTATGATCCTAGGAAAGTATGTGTTGAAATATTGCATCCTTAAATCAAAAGTATATTTTCCTGTGAAAATATACTGTGCCAATACTGTGAGAGCATAGGAAGAGATGGAGCTTCTTTAAGGAGGTGATGACAAATGCGGAAGGCATATCAACACAAACTTTAAAATACAGCAGATCACTACTTAATATTATCCTGTGGAACTATAAAGCAGAATTCATGCTTTCTTTAATGATGGCAGGTTATACCAGTTCTGAGGCAGCAAAGCATATTCCATATACCATGACAATATCACTTCCACGTGTAACAGATATATTTTTATTGAAATACTTGGTTTCTGCCAGACATAATGACACCTGAATAATCTGAATGGTTCTATTTTTGATTCTGGAACATTAATCAAAAATAAAAAATAAAAAATGAAGGATGGGGTCATCTATGTGCTTTATGGCAAACTACAGAATAGTATCCATGTTGTCATTAGTGAGTTATGGCTTCCACTTGCTATTTTCCCATGAATCTTATTTTTAATTAGTGTTCTTCCACAAATCAAATTCACAGTCTAGTTAATCAGTTAACCCTGAAAATCCCTGGATGCTTTCCTGGGCTTCTTTGTGACTTCCTGAAAAATGAAGTGATTTTGATCACATGATCCATGTCAAGATTACGTCTCTTTATTCTGTATCAATGAAATCTAAGATTATATTTCATTTAAGAAAACAAGATGAACTGGCATATTAAACAAAAGCATTAGAAAAGAAACTTCCAGTGCTAGATTTCAAAAAGTAAATCTGATATTAACGGAAGATTTTAAAAAGTTGACATGTATTTGAATATTTTCTGAAGAACAGAAAGCTTATTGACCTTGCTTGTGAGGTAAAAGTGGAAAAGACAAGAAATTCCATCTGTCCCGTCAAAGTCAGCCAAAGTATGCAAAATTGGTTGCAACCATCTGCTGCTCCAGGTGGCCAGAACTTCTTTAATGAAACAGGTAGGTTCAAAAAAGCATGCTTAAGCAAATTATTCTAATTTTAGTCAAGTTGCCCATTCAACATTTCTTAAAACTCAATAGTATCCCATCTGGATCAAAGCAATTCCTTAAGATGTATCAACTCTAGGAATCTAGAAAAATGTAATAAAACAGAATATGATTTTCATACATTCTCTTTGGTGCCCTTCCCTTGTGCTTGAAGCCTTTTTTATTCTGCCAAGGTTTTAATTGAGTCTTTGCTATTTCCCTATTTATGATTCTTTACTTATATTTTCATTATTTGTTCAATTTTTTTTTAACATAGTTTTCTAAAAGTTCACTCAGACATAACTGCCCCCAAATTGCAATGATAGCATTAAAATGTGTTTTTTAAGAAACTGCACTTATTAAATTTTATGGCTTCATCTCAGGAAGTAGAAAAGGACTTTTCATGCAGCAAAACTCTTTTAATGGACAAAATGTGCATTCTGAATGTGTATAATGAATGAAATTGATAATGCAAGATATACAAAATTGATATACAAAGTGATATCTTGGTAATATCACATATACAAAGATGATTAATATACGAAGTTATGCAGCTATCCCCAGTTCAGTGACTGTTCAAAGTTAGGATGGCACTGAATGAGTGGTACTTAAGCCAGTACTTGAAATTTTGGATGTCACAGCACTCACATAGACAAATGATCGGATTTGGGCATTTGGCAACCAGTTCACACTTATTACACTGCATCATCTCACAATCATGTGATCGCCATTGGTAACCTTCCCTGATGGCTTCCCAGAAGCAAAGTCCCAGAGATCTCGTATTCCATAGCACCCACTCCACCAGTCTCCTCTTAATACTGTGCACTGACCTGCAGCAATCTCTCTGCTTGCAGCCCTCCCCAACCTGCTTATGCTCCCTAACACCCGCCCATAGTCTCTGCCAGCCCATCTGTAGCCCCTGCTGGTCTGCCTGCATTTCTTTAGGACTTCATTTTAAGGAGACATTAGAGTCAGGCATTTCAATCAATCGCATGTTCAGCAGGTATGAGTGTGGAAAGTTTTTCCTTACTTAAAGTACAGAATTCTGGCTATTCATTAACCAAGTCTGATCTTCACCATACAGATATACAGAAGAGTGACTTTAACAAAGTCACATTTCTGAGGAAACAGCTAGGCTGTAAAATGTTACAAAACTATTTCCAAAAAGTTTGGACTCTACCAGTTCACTATCAGGAAAATCATGTAGAAATGGAGGCCATTCAACACCAATGTTACCCTCTCCCAAAGATTACACTAAGAACAAAATGTGTAATACTCTAGGAGTTTTTAAAGAAACCCAGAGTAAGATCTAGGTCAGGGGTCCCCAATCTCCTGGCCTGTGGCCCTTTACTGGGCTGCTGGACCCATTGACAATTGGGTCACACAAACAGCCCCACTCATGCACACACAAATGAAGCTGTGTGCGTGCACGCATCTGTCCCTCGCACAAAACCATTCTCTCTCCCCCCCTCTTCATCAGGCTGCCAACTCAGAAAGGTTGGGGACCGCTGGTCTAAGGAACTAAAAGCCTCTCTCACATTGGCAAACGCCAGTGATCATGAGACACCCCCCCCCCTTTGGGAGAACACTGAACAACAATGGTGTGCATGGAACAATTGCAAGGAGAGAGCCACTGCTCTCCAAAATGAACACTGCTGCCCATCTACAGTTTGCAAAATACCATATGGAAAAGTTAGAAGGTTACTGGAAGAGTGTTCTGTAGAAAGATGAGACTAAAATAGAAAAGTTTTGGCTTGAATGAAAAGTATTATGTTTGACAAAAGGCAAACACTATTCCAGTATAAGAACCTTATCCTATCTGTGAAACATGATGGTGGTTGTATCATGGTTTGTATCAGCTTTTCTGCCTCTTGAGGACTAGGGAAACTTGCCATCATTGACCACGAGATATCAATGGATTGGGATGGGAACCATGAACTCTGAATTGTATCAGAAAATTCTACAGGAAAATATCAGGGTATCTGCTGTGAAGTGAAGCTGAAAGTGGGTCATGCAGCAAGACAATGACCTTAAATAGATAAGTTGCACAACCAAAGAATGATTGAAGTAGAAGAAATAAATATTTTGGAAAGGCCAAGTCAAAATCCTGACTTTAATCCTAGAACTGACCTGAGGAAGCTCACCAACATCCTGGAGTTAAAGCTGCTATATATAAGGAGGAATGGACTAGAATTCCTCCAAGCCAAAGCACAGGACTTATTAACAGTAATTGGAAATGTTTAACTGCAGAGGAGCACACTAGTAACTGAAAGCAAAAGTTCACATACTTTTGCCACACATAAATATGTAACTTGGGATCATTTTCCTCAAAGAATAAATGAACAAGTCTAATGGTTTTGACTCATTTGTTTAATTATATCCTCTTTAGTTTTAGGATTTGTGTAAAGAACAGATCATGTTTTAGGTCATAATGCTGAAATTTTGAAAATTAAAAACAATTCAAAAACTCTTAAGTACTCTATGCTATTTTGCTGTTTTGTTTCTCTTACAAATGCACTTTAAATTGATTATCAGTACTTTTAATTGTTTTAATCATTATTTTTATATTACAAGTGTCCCTACATGTGAATTTGGAGGCATATAGAGATAAATTATACATTTAAAGCTGGGAAATAGTTTCTTTTTCTGTATAGCAGTCCTATATTATCCACAGCTCTTACAGTATGTACTAAACATTTTTGTTAATACAATTACATTAAATGAATAAATAGAATTATTTATAAATGCAGTAAATAAATGGCACATTTTAGTCTATAAAATTGCACTGGTGACTATGAGCTTTCCTTTAAATACCTGACATTTTAAAAAACAGATTAAAAACCAAGGGTGGTATACTCCAAATTGGAAGGAAATTCCTTTCTTTCCATGGTACTTACAACCCCAATGGGAAAAGCTAAAACAGCCATCATCCAATCACGGAGAGAGATGAGTTTTCTTAGTTGCCTTTCTTGTTCTTGGCTGTCATTTCCTTTAGTCAGAAGGCTGGAAAGGTCAGTCAGTACACAGATCCCAAAAAAGACTGCTTGAACCACCTGCATTAGAAATATAAACATACTGAAACATAAATATCTCGGTTTCGATATTATCATTTTTAGCTGTAGATCCCTCCTAGTGGTGGTGACATTTGGCAGCAGTGAATTTATTGAGCTTTTTAAAATGCTCAGGCTGGATATTGTTCAGGCTTACTCTGAAACCTTGCTTTATAAAAAAAATAGGAGGAATAGAATCTTTACTATCCAGAGTAACTCTGGCTTAATAAATCAAACCACTATTTCTAATATGCAATGAAAATGTATTATTCTCATTTTCTGCTCTACCAAGTGTGAGTGTATTTCTTCATACAGAGATGAAAGGGCTGCTTAGCAAGCATGGAAGAATAGACAGGATATGTGCATTTATCCTGAACTCTTCCTCTTCAATTATGGTATTAATGCCAATTCTGAGGCAGGGGCAGTCTGGCATCATTCTGAAAAAAAATATATACTATCTGTCTCTGTGGATGTTTTTCTCCCTTAATGCACCAACATTTCATTTCTGGTCCCCACTGTCAACATCTTTGTACTTTTGCCATATATGAAAAATATAAAAATACCCTGACATCTACTTAAGTAACCATCACCTTTTGTTTTAAAAAGCTCTAAATTATATGCTGTTTCTTCTGCTTCTTCTGAACTGTACGTATAAAATCTGTCCTTATTACTTTCCATGTCCTGTTTACAATACAGGGCATTTTTATCCATTTAGCAAATATGTGTTTATGTGGAATGTATTTTTACTACCGGTAGATCACATCTCATATTATCTTTTCTAAAGTTTAATTTTGCTTGACTCCTATTCAGCATATACAATTATTTTGAATTAAATATATTTTATATTACATACAATATTAGAGTTGTGATTGGTGATATATCCTAGGCTCGTGTGCCACAGGTGGCACACGGAGCCATATTAGTGGGCACGCCAGCTCAGCTCTGGGGTGTATGCGCGCACTGGCCAGTTGATTTTCGGGCCTTCATCCTGCCTCTGGAGGGCCTGGGGAAGGGGGGTTGGAGAAGGCCCGCTTTTCTTTCTTACCTGGCTCCAGATCCTCTCTATTTATCTGGGAAGGGTGAAAACAGCCTTTCCCACTCCCTTGGAGGCCCTACGGAGGCTGAAAGGGCCCATTTCCTGACTCCCGGTGGGACAGGAAGTGACCTTTTTTGCTGTCCCCAGCCTCCAGAGACTCCTAGAGAGGCTCCTAGAGACTTCTAGAGAGGCTCTGGAGGCTGGGGATAGCAAAAAATATCACTTCCTGTCCCACCGGACGTTGGGAAATGGGCCGTTTTCAGGCCTTTGGAGGGCCTCCGAGAGAGTGAAAAAGGCTGTTTCACCCTTCCCAGATAAATAGAGAGGATCTGGAACCAGGTAAGAAAGAAAAACGGGCCTACCAGGCCATCATGTGCCAGGAGCGGGGTGGGGGGTGGGGTTTAGTACGCGCATGTGTGTGGGCACACGCGCGTGCGCGACCCTCCCCTGCCCCCCTCTCCTGGCACGTGATGGCAAAAAGGTTAGCCATCACTGTCCTAGGCCATCAATTAATACTAGAAAAGGCCATCAACAAGCTAGGTAAACTTTGGCTTAACTTGTTGAGCAAGGAAAGAAACATTTATTGCAGATATTTATACTAAGTTGTACTTATATATTAAGTTTACAATACATTAAAATTCTTATCATGTTTTAAAATAAATAGTTCACTCAACCAAAATAGAATGATTTAGAGAAATCTTTCTCTGATAAGTACCAGACAAATTATTTATGTGAAAATTCTAAAATATACAGAATGCACCACATGGTCCAAAGCAAAGTGGCTTTCCTAATTAATGTTAAGTAAGATGAAGGCAAGATCTTGCCTTATTGGCATTCTGATGCCCTGTGACATCAGAATGTTACAATAAATCTGTAACTGTTTGAATAAATATTTTATTATTTATTAATTTTTTCCTTACTTTGTCATATTCAAATGATTCTTGGCTTTTCATATATTCCTAGAAGCTTTATAACTTTAGGAAGACAAAAGGTCTGGATAAAACTACATTACTATATAGAAACAACACACCCATGTTGTTACCAGAAGTCAATATTCTATGGGGGAGAAGGGAGGTTAATTTAATTGGTATTTGCCACACATCAGTTGCACACCAATTCAAACAGTACATTAGTATTGCGTGTGTTGTTTATGTTACAGGACTATTTTTGGTTGCCTTTCTGATCTTTCTGGCCTACTTCACTCCTCTTGCTCAGTTATTTTTACTCAATTTTCATTTACCCACCTCAGCTTGCGGATTATGTCTCAATTTCATTTTGACCTTCTCTTCTCTATTAATTTATTAATGCAGATCTTAATCACTATAAACCATAAATACAGCATAAGGTATTACTAAAATCATGTAATCATCCTTGCACTATTTGAATAAATACAAAATAGTAATAAACAAGAACACCAATAAAGCTAGAGACCACTGATGTCTGAGACATTATATCAAAGTAACTTTAGAAGCAATTAGAGAAACACCAAAGATGCCAGATTTCTAGACTCTTAGCCTTGGGAGTATGATAAGGAATTCCTAAAGCCATTCACAAAGTATCTACAACGTTATGACTCCAAAAATTATCATAAGCTTTGACTGTTCATCCCTAATTAATCCAGTAATTTTTGAAAATACTGTTTCCAGCAAGATTTCCCTTTGAAGTGCTTTCAATTTATTATTTTTGTCCATCAAATACATTTAATTTTTGTTTTTGTTATCTCTGAATTTTAGATCCATACTTTGTATATCATCAGGAAATAAAAATGTTATGTATATATTTAATTAGCCAAACTGAAAAAAATGCAAAATACAGTACTAAATAATTTGGACTGTTCTGACAAAATTCATCTATGTCCCCATTTCTATAATATCAGAATGCATGGAGCTGAATAGGAAAAGGATGCAATACTATTAAAATGATTCAATTTAAAAACAAACTAAACTGAAATTTCCATGAGGAAATCCTAGGGAAAAAATCATTTGGTCTTTTTTATATATTTAGAAACAAAACAAAATCTACCTGCAGAGGCAAACTTGATGCAGAATGACATGAAACACGATCCCAAATGATTGTGATCCAGATGATCAATCCAGCTTTGTAAAAATGTAATCATTTTTGCACAGTAGATAATACTTTACTTCTCTTCCTTAACATACTTCAGGTTTGTTTGTTTGTTTGTAGCCTGCCTTTATTATTTTTAAAAATAACTAAAGGTGGCAAATAGGTCCAATGCACCTTTCTCCTCCTATTATCCCCACAACAATCTTCTCCCTGTTTTTGAGTGCAAGAGAATATGGAGGTCTCAAGAAGCCAAAAAGACAGAGGGAGAATTATCTCAGAGAAAAGAAAGCTAAATAAACTGGAAAGGGAACTAAACTTTCCCATTTACTTGAAGTCTATCTTTATGAATACCTATATTCCCACCATCTTGTAGCAATATTATTAGTACTACTTTGTAAATTATCATCATCTTAAATATCTACATACATATATGGAAAACAAAGTATTATAATTGACCATAAGAAAATTAATAACAGTGATAATATAGAACTAGTTGAGCCATTCATTTTCTTTCACCTCTAGGAAGAAGGCAATGGCAAACAATTTCAAAAATTGCAGCTAAGAAAACTGCAAGGGCTTTTCCAGACAATCACAAAGCGTCAAGAATGATTTCGACCTATATTTATTGGTCATATCAGAATGGTTTTGATGTTTTGAATTAACTTTATTAATATTTAAAGACATGTAGGAAGTTAACACCCACCCCTTTCCTAGAGGAATGAAATATTTTGGGAAAGATTAAAAAGACAGAATATTATGTTTCCCTGGATGAGAAATGGCGAAGCATGTTTTAAAGACGAAGCAGCTCCCATCTTCCTGCCCCCACCCTTTGTCAATGGGCCAGAGGCAGAAACTCTATCTCTATCAATGGACCATCATCTGCAACACAATAAGACCCATCTAGCAACAGAAACTCACCACATGGCACCTGGGAAGATTACATCAGTCAGCAAGGCTAGCTAAGACCCAACCCCCTGGGAGTCTGACAACCAATCAGGATACTCTTTCGGGGCCCCAGGAAGTTCAAAACCAGAGAGGCATAAAACCCGGGGACTCACTGCATCTCAGCCCCTTTTTCTGTTCAGGAACTCAAACCATGTGATCCTGTCCACCATTAAACCATCTTTCCAAGCAGTCTCCATATTTCCAGTGTCTTTTTCCCCACTTGAGCCTGAGTGGCGTAGGAAGCTAATGCCTCCTAAGGCAGCATTTAACATCCAGCTGCCTGTAATTACTGCGAGTTCAATTCTTACCAGGCTCAAGGTCGACTCAGCCTTCCATCCTTTCTAAGGTGGGTAAATTGAGGACCCAGTTTGTGGGGGCAATAAGCTGACTTTGTATAAATATACAAAAGTATGAAGGCTATTGCTTAACGCATTGTAAGCCGCCCTGAGTCTCCGGAGAAGGGCGGCATATAAATCAAATTAAAAAAACAAAACAAAACTTGGAGCTGAACCCAGAAGGATATTTCTTCTAACAGACAGTAATAGCAAAACAAGAGCCAGATTGGTATAGTGGTTACAGACCCTAGGATAGAAACTGGAAGACTGAAAGGGTTAGTCCTGCCTTTGATATGAAATCAACTGGGTAATCTTTGACAATCATTTTCAGCCTTAGTAAAAAGACAATGCAAATCACTTCTAAAAAATGTTGCTAAGAAAATATTATGAAAACTGGCGGAAAATAAAATGAATAAACTAAACATGAGTTTACCATATCAGATATTATTTGTCTTAATTAGAAATACAATACAATACAATAAATACAATTAGGTATACAATACCCTCCACTTAGAATACAAGTATATATTAGAATGCCTGAACACATTATTTGAGAACTAGACTTGAACTAATTTTTTTTTTTAAATTGAACCTAGGAAAATTCCAAGTACGCTAATTTCCAAGAACTTCAAATATATACATTCAAGCAATCTTATTTATTTTAAGAAGCAGCTATGAATGGTAATTTGGTAGAGGTAACATTGAGAATTAAGGCACTTCCAGGTTTACTAAAAATATGTAGACATTTAATATGCCACTGCCACGTTGAACAAGGCAAGTGTCCAAAAATAACTAATTCCTTTTCAAAAGCAATCTCAAAAGAACTGTTAAAATTAGTAAATCTCTTCTGCAGATGAAATCAAAATACCACGGTCAAATATTTTAAAGTGTGTTGCTTTGTGAATCAGCATAAAGCCAAATAACTGAATATTATATTATATGCATAATGATACAAGCCCAATGTGCAACATCAAAATGTAGACAGCAGGATCTGTGGCACTCTACAAATTTGGTTGATGTCTCTAAAACTCTGTAGATTTAGTATCCCTATTCCCAGAGAGACAAAATTGATGTTATTAACCTAATGCTTGTTCCGTTCTGTATCAAAGCATAAATGTATCGTATCAGAATATCTTTGTAATGCAATATTTAAGAAGAAAAGGGACAATTTATGTTCTTTTCGGATATATTCTATGAGCCTCTGAAACCATCCAAAATAAGTCAAACCTATCCAAACTCATTTCCATTCAATTTCATTTTCATTTTTAATGGTTTTTGTCTTTCTATTGTTTTAATTTATGTTATTGTATACAGCGGCCAAGAGGCTGCATTTCGGGATGAGTAAAGTAAGTGTAATAGCTCTCTTCCAACATTGCTCCTAGCAAGTAGAAGGTAAATATGGTAGTTTTGATACCGGATAGTCTTTTCCTTTATGTCTGTACTTCTTTTACCAACAACTCTAATTATTTCCTTTTATTGGTCATAAATTGCTGCACATGCAGCTTTAATAGACAATTCCATGCAAAATGCAGAAAATTTCTCTGTTCACTTATCTACAGCATGCATAATTTTATGCATTTTATTGTATTCCCTCACTTGCCTTCTTTCTTAGCTAGACAGACTTAAATACTGTGCTTAGCAAAATGCTAGTGATTTATCGATTTTATAAATTATCAAAACTCTGGAGGTATGAAGAAAGATGTGCTAAAAATAAAATTGTGTAATTTGGTTATGATGAAAGGAAGAGTGCTATCAAATCAGAAGATTTCTCATAAGTTGCAGATTTGAACACTATAATTTACACTTCTTTGACAAAGTATGTAAAATTGGTTTATCCTGTTGGGAAACATTATTCTACTAAAGAATACAATTTATTGGAGATTAAACTCTACAGGAAAAGCCCAGTCTGATACTTCCTTCATCAAGTATTTGTTTTCTGCCCTAAGCATTTATGAAGGCTTCCAATGTATTGTTAGAATATTAAAAAATAAAGTACAATAAAGTTTCCTCTGATCTGAGCTTGACTCCCTGTGACTCCATTGAGAGATTCATGCAATTTTCTTGATAATGATTTGGAAGCAATTTGCCATAACTTTCTACTGGGATGTATTTTTGACTTTCCACTCTACCCACAGCTCTGATACTATTTGTAGGTCACCTAAGTATCAGCTAGTCTCGATACTACTTAGCCTCCAAGGCCAGACAAGGTCAAATATGTGCTGTCATCAATTGAGAAAGCAAAAAGTTATCTTTATGAAATGTAGTTATTTTCCCCCTTTTTTCTGAACAATTTAACACAATTTAACATGGATCACTTTCTCAGCAAGAGACTGTATTACATCTAACCTCAAATAATTGAAAAGAAGACATGACATCAATACAAGGCTATCCTGGTCACCTGGAAGTTTTTTTCATTCTTGAAAAGATAGACATAATGCTGAGAAAGGGATTTATTTGTTTATTTATCCGTTTTATTTATATAAACTGCCAACTCATATATATGACTCTGGGCAACTCACACACTTAAAAATAGAAAACAATAAATAGTTACAAATAAATAACGGAAATAAAAACCATCAAAAACTGATTAAAACAAGTTTAGGTAATATTTTTACATAAAGATTGAAAATTCAAACTTTTAAATATCACTTGCAGATCAACTACCCAAACCTTGAGTCTCTGTGATGCAAAAGATTGAGCTTAAATTTAGTATTGAACTTTGGGTCAAGGAAGCAAATTATTTGCTTTTTTATTTATATCCATATTCAGTCCTACTGTACCCAAGATCGGAGATTGACGATTTGAGGAGGTAGACTAAAACACTGGAGATATACTTGACACTTTTTTTATCTATCAAGAGTCATGAATCACTGTTATGACTTCTGAGTCTCAGATCTTTAGGGGAAAGACACTCTACTTTAGTGGGACCTTCTAAACTGGAAGATGGTATCTTGCTCTCATACAGAGTCAAAAAAATGAACAAAACCTTCCTACTCTCACAATTTTAATCTTCTAGCAGAATTCTCCAGCACTACACATAAGGGGAAGTATGCATTTCTGAAAATGTAATGTTCTGACTAGGGGGCACCCAAACAGCAAAGCACAAAACATGAGGTCGGATCAACCAATCAGCAGGATGTGCACCTTTGCACAATGTACAGTTGAGATTTGGGAAGTATTTGTGTCAGCCCATCTGCAGCTATCTGCAACCTACAGTTACCCAACAACTCCTTTGCAGCATAAATATGCAGTGACAGCTATGGGCAGTTATGGGCAACTCAAATTCAGCCTTTAGACTACAAAATAAGGCAAGGTTCTTTAAAATTTCAGGTAGTTCCTCCAGAATGGGCAGAGCTAACTATGGCAGGATAAATAATAGTTCAAATACTTTAGCGTGGCTGGAAATTCTGGAATAATATTTTTATGTGTTCCTACTAGAAGAAAACTTCGGCTAGTAATGAATCGTTACACTGGGTGCGGTAACCAAAAAAATCTTGGCCAGCACTAAGAAAACTTGCAAACGAAGGAAGTTTCCAACTATCAATTGCAAAAGGCCACGCTGCTTAGATTCACACATATATTATGCCATTACAATATCCTAGGACCTAGATCCTTGGGAAGAATTGATGGCAGGAAGGCCAACACCAGCTAAAGAACTGGTAAACTGTGACTTTGCATTAATAATAATAATATAATAAAATAATAATCAAACAAATAGTTAGAATGTAAATGACATTTTAACTTGGATGTTCACGAAATATGTGGCAATTCTAAAGAAAAGAAACTAGCCAACCTTTTTAAATTGATGAACTGCTTTTTGGAAAGCATTTTGCTTGTGAGATAATATAATGCACAATATCCCAAAGGTGCTTTTTTTCAAGAGACAACTGGACTTTCGGGTTTCTCCTTTTCCTAATGTACAATAATGTCATTCATTGGGGTTGCTATCCTCTCAGCAGCTACCTATCATTCTTTCTCCTTACAGAGTTGCAGCTTTCATTTTTTTGGAGAAGTGCCTCGTATCGCTATTTCTAAATGCGGGGGAGTCAATAATCCTAATATATTTCACTCTCTTCCCTAGCACTGTTCATGTGCGCAGTCAATAAACAGACATCTCCAAACGGCAGCGTTGCGACCGCGGTGCCTTTTTCTTCTTTCTTTAAAAAAAAAAAACGACGGTGCGAATGAACAGCGTCTTCCTTCACAGCACCTCCCCTTCTGGCGTCCCCTTGAAAGCGCTGCCCGTCACCAGTCCTTCCGCGCAAAAGAGGCCTCATCCCCGGGGCAAAATTTTAAACAGGGAAAGCATCCACTCTCCTTGCCCGGGATACGGGATCGCATCCTTCACATCCCGAGGAAGAGGAGGCGGAGGTGGCGGCGTGCAAGGTGACTTACCAGGTTAATGAAGGTCAGAAATTTCCAGCTGCCTCCATAGGTCTGGTGCGCTGGCATGTCAATGGCCTTGTAATTGCACAGGATGGAAAAATAGGAGAGGAGGATGGCGACCCGCAGCACCTGCCCGGGCACGAGCGCCATGTTGTGTCTCCTTCCCCCCCCCCCCCCCCAATTAAGGCCTGAGCGCCGAACGAAGCGGGCGGCTAAAAGCGACGGGCGCGCGCTTCGTTCGCGGTTCAGGGGCGCGCGCCGAGCCTGGGAAGCGGAGCGTTCGGCGCCGCTCAAGTGTTCCCCGCGGGGGATGAAAGCAACGCGAGCGGAGCCATAGACTTCTGGCGTGTATTAACTTCTGGCGTGTAGATCCACCCACTGTGCCCCACTTCCGGGGTGATTTTGGACGCCATGTTTAATGTTGCCCAAGAGAGAGAGAGAGAGAGAATTGCCCATAGGAAACAGCAGGGAAGGCTTGGGCTGCACCTGGGCGGCAAGGGTCCTTCCGCCTCTTCCTCCGGGAGGCGACAATGCAAAGTTGCAGGAAAGTAAAAATGAACGCGTCCGTAGCTTCTATCGCTCCCGTTGCACTTGCATTTGCTTTTAGTCCCAGTGTAACACAGAAGGAGGTTGCTTCGGCAGGTTGAAGCTTGGAGTACGAGATCTTTGCTGCAACTTGACCGGTGTTCTTGCATCGAATTGGGGACTGCATTTCCCGCCCGGCTTTCACTTTTCCATATAAATAGGGAAATAAAACCACAATTTCCGCCAGCATAAAGGGGCTGATGTCTTCAGCCTGATCGGAGTCATTGAAAGTGGCAGAGCAGATTTCATTTATTTAAAAGCTAAACGCACGTACACCCACACAACTATGTTGCATTGCATTATCAATTGCAATAACATTTTTTCTTTTTCGGTTGTCCATTAATAGCTCGACTAAATTTGTGGAGTTTTTTTTCAGATTTTTTTTATAGAGAGAGCGCGCTTACCTGCACGTCACGTTTAAGTGCGTATAGCACTATTCAAAGGAGGAGGAAGCTTCGTCTTCAGACTTATAGATCGTGATTCCCAAACTCTACAGTAGCTGACTACAATTAAGGGGGTCATAAAGACTTCAGAATCGGTTCAACCCTGAGAATATCCAAGATGTGGACGGTGATGTCGATTGCTGGACTCGGAAACATTCTCAGAGTCACCTTCTCGGTCTGATTGTCTTCTTAAATTATTCCTAACCTGGGATTATTCTAATGCACATGTTCATCTCAAAACCAGCTCCCCCCCCTTTTTGTTTTTCACAAAGCTACTAAAATAAATAAAAAAATCAGTTAATGGGATATAAAAGTAGTTCAAAATTCCCCCAGATGCTGACACTGCCATCTGCATTTATTCCATTGTGTACTTTCCTGCTGTGAATTATTCCCTGAATAAACTCTTCAACAGAACCTGGTAGTATCTGGCATCCCTAAAATTCTTCACTGTTGAGAAGTTTATTTTATGAATAAAAAGAATTCAGCTATGTAGAAAATGCCTTGCAGTTAAAAGCAATAGATATAGATAAATATAACTAGATAGATCAATTAGATAGATATTTGTGTGTGTGTGTGTGTGTGTGAGAGAGAGAGAGGGGGGGGGAGATGGCATCCATTCAGAGCAAATATCCACAATGGTTGCAAGCAGAATTCCAAATGGATCTTTTCAGGTGGTTGCAATATGCCTAAGGTTTTATACAGAATGATTCTGTTGCATTCAGACAGTTATGGGTACTTAGCAAACAGCATTATTATCTCATACCTCTTAAGATTGCAGAAGATTGAGCCATCTATAATATCAAAAACAATCTTCTCTTGGTGAGGTGGATAAAGGGGGAGTACTCATGACCATAAGGAAGTTGGATTATTTAAACAATGCTCCAGTACCTCATTTTAGAGATATTGAGGTGGTACAGATGGTGAAGAATGCCAAAAGGAGTTATATGACTTTCTGAAGAATGTTCTCCCAAATGCACAAAACATACTTTGAGAAAGTTATTCTGGCATCTCCTTACTTGGGAATGTGGGGCAGCAATACAGTAGACAGGGGTGGTGCATTTATGAAGACTAGAAGACTTCCAAGGTACCTTCCAACTCTTGTTCCATATTCTGTATGTCTTCTTTTGATGATGTCTAGTTACCTACCAATAAATCCCAGAATTCATGAGATACTGTGGTTAGATTTTGCAAGATTTGTTTTTGTATGAAATCTCTCAAGATCTTGTCAATTTTGATTGTGAATATTTGCCTGCTTTGAACTTTAGTTTAGAACATAGCAGACAATAATAATATACAATCATTTCTGTTCAAACGCATCAAAAAACAATGAAAAAAATTCTAGTGAACATTTTGAAACTATAATAAAATAGAGAAAATATCTATCAACAAAGCCCAAGAACCAAAAAAGAATACTATTCATTACCCATATAAAGGTAAGCCATTCAGATTTAAAATCAGTCCTGTGCAATAAACTCTTTCTCATGGGTATCCGGTTGTAGTTCAGTATTCACTTTAAATGTTCTTACAAAGTGAGCTGAAAATAATAGAATGAAACCCCACAGAATCAAAGGCAAAACCTTTCTCTTAGAAAACAGAAATCAAATGCATAGGTATACGACGGGATAATTCTCCACGTAGTAGTACTTGTGAGAAAGATCTTGGAATAGTAGTTGATTATCAATTTAGTGTAACTTGAAGGGTGATGTGACTGCAGAAATAACAAATGAAAATGTTGGCTTCACGAAGAGAAGCTTTTAAAGTAGCTTTTAATAATGAAAAGTAACTGTGCTGCATTATTCTGTATTGGGCAGATCCCTTGAGTCCAGTTCTGAGCACCACACTTTGAGAGTTCAAACAAATTTGATATTAAACGATTGGCAGTGTTTAGCCTTGAGAAGGGGAGAATGGTATAAAAGGGAGAAGTTTATCATGCTTCATGTATGTGAAATAATGTTACAAAAGAATGTCAGGATCTTTTCAATATTGTTCCAAAGTGTAGGAGGGGAAATAATGAATTTAACTGTCAGAAAGAAAGATTTTGACTGAATATTAAGAAAAACTTTTAAGATAACTTATTAAGAATATATTTATTATAATCAGCCACTGATTTCTTAATGACTCAATTTTCATTGCTTGCAGGTCCTGTATTGCATTATATTATGAGCTAATATTTCCTTGTCCATCCTAAATTAATGAATATATAATACTTCTTTCTGAAATATTGTATGTTACATGCATTTGGTAAAAGTGATTAACATCCTGAAAACTTTATAAGCAATAAAAATGTTGTCCTTAAATTGCCACAATATCCTTTGTTGTTTTATTTCAGTAAATTAAGTAGTTGCCATCAAATCATTGTTGACTCTTAACCATCTAGGCATGATATAAACAATTTAAAATCTCTTGGATCACATCTCCCCCTTGTCTCATGATGCACTTTGATAGTCTCCTTCCTTTACTGTTGTTAAATAATTTCTGATGCTTCAAATCTCTAAGATCATCTATCAATAATCAACTACTCATATAAGTTCATTTGTGTCATCAATGATAATATCAAGCCACATGTCTTTTTCATTTCCCCCCATTTTTCCAATGATCATAGCATTTCCCAATGATTCTTGTCTTCACATTATATGTCAAAAATATTTAAATTTTATCTTAAATTTTAGTGCTTCCAATGAGGAGACTGGTTTTATTTTATGTACTACTGAATTATTAATTCTCGCAGTCCAAGGTAGTCTGAACAATTTTCTCTAGCACTACAGTTTAAAGTCATCATTTTTTTCTTCATTCAACATTTTTAAGTCTAGTTTTCATAGTAGTATGTTACTTCTGGGGGGGGGGGTGAATTGAAAATCCATTGATATTAAACAAATTAGGAACATGCATACTTTTTCACATTAGTGAGATGGATCAAAATTGGAGCTGGCAGTTCCATAGGAAAAAATAACTTACCAATACAATCTAACCAGATATATAGGTACCTATATGAATTTTTGTAATGTATAAGAAACACATTTTTCTTAATAAACATTGATTTTCTTCTATTCACATGGATGTGTTACTTTTGTTGTCACAATGTATGTCCACATGCATATTTCCTAATACTACCATTTCCTTTTTTTCTTAATCCATTCAAATACCCCACATATATGATGTCATATGCATTCAAGTATTATTTGCTCAATGTGATTGAGAGTCATTCTTTTTTTCTTAGATTAAATAAAGTAATATGCTTTGGTTTTAACATTTAAGCGACAGGAATAAGCTAATGTCCAAAAGAAGTTTTGTTCCATATCAAATATCTCTATGAATAACATTAGCACTAAAATCTGTATTTTCTTCTTGCATGAAAGAAAAGAAATATAGATGAAAGGAAAATACAAATTACAAGTGTTACTTCTGTGAGCTCCACTGTTTGCTTTCAGAGAATATTGCATTGGATTGCATTTTGTTTTTAATAGATCAGGTCCAATTAAATGTGTTATCAAATTATAAAAAGATACCATACCCTGTTTTATGGACACATTCCAAGCAAATGTCTGCAAATAGCCTGTGATTCAATGGTTCCTCAGATAAGTGAAAGCCTAGCATCCGAGGGACGATGCAAGTAAATAGCTTTTAGAAATCTGTAATCTAATTGTGCAGGATCCTAGCCCCGTGATCTCTTTGAGAATTCACTTTTTATTAAATAGTTTATATAAACAACAGTAGTCCAGGCTGACATTGTTTTTCAGATGTGCTATTGAAAAGTGCTCAGGTCTGAAAATGTTTATATCAACATTTCTTTTCGAATCCCAGAAGGATATGGCTAGCTGATGAGAGCTAAAAAACTTGAAATAGCTATACTTTCCTTTATTACTTTGTTGGTAAATTTAAATTTAACACAAAATAGTTGTCATGGAAGCGACAGTCTGCAAAGGCTCCTGGATTGGGACTGAAAGGCGAAAGCGGAAACAGTATGCTCGGTCCCATATTTGGGTAAACTGGGTTGCCCTGAAAGACCAATCTCACCGTTTATATCAACACTTTTTCTTACATACATGTCTGTGTGTATGTCTCTGTGCATTCTTTCTCTGTATACCTGTCAGTCTGTTCTATATCTCAAGTCTATTCAGTTCCCTAAATTGTATCGGGCTGAGACTGTCTGCCAGTAGAATGGACAGAATTGGTAAATTGTCCTGAATATTCCTTCCTCACTGAAGTTCCCATGCAATGCCATCATAGATCTAATCCAAGAAGTTGGGAGACCCTCCTGAGCAGATTTGAGGGATAAGCTAAGAGAAAAGTAAAGAATACTTCTATTGCACCAATGGAAATCTACTCACATGACAGTGGAGATAAATTATTTTCTGTTTCTGTCTGCAATTTGCTGCAGGCAACTCATTACTGGACTTGCAATACTCTTGCTTTCTATTTGTAAAGTTCATTCTGGTTTTACAAGTTTGTACTTGTTAGGGATAACCTACGGTATTGCCTTATGACACGAAAAATGCTCACCTGATTTGGCATATGAAAGGAATGAGGGAATCCTTAACATGACATAAATTATTTGGCTTCTCCAACCAGATTTTGTAAGAATAAAAAGTGAATAAAAGCTGGGTAATGGGTAACATGACTAACTATGAAAAAGAAAAGTCATGTGTTTTTAAAAAGTATAACAATAATATGATACAAAAACTTAATTGTTCTGGCATTCACATCCATTTACTTTTTCCCATTATGAACTTAGACGAGCAAGTTGCTTGAATTTTAAAACAATATGAAAGACTATAAAAGTTATTTACCAAAGGTAATGGTGAATTGAAATACAACATTAATGCTGCCTTCAACTTTCTAAAATCTATTTTATTTATTATTTAATGATGTTACTTTTCAGAACCAATATTAGAAACATACAACACTAGAGGATTTAAGGGTTTAGACAGGGATATTGGAGAGGGAGCAGGGGTGAAATGCTCCTGGATTGGACCGGATCGCCTGATCTGGTAACGATCTTGACTGGTGGTTTGGCGATCCAGTAGCGATGGCGGAGCATAGCTCTGCCCACCCAGCCGGGTGTCATTACTTCCTGGTTTTAACCAGGAAGTAATGTGTTTTTTACCTTCTGCACATGTGCAGAAGGTTTTGCGCATGCGCAGAAGTCTGCACGTGCCTGTGATGCGCGCAGACTTCCGAACTGGTAAGGAAGGTAAATAGATTTCACCCCTGAGAGGGAGGGTAAGCTAGCTGTATGTGAAAAACATTAAACTTGTGGCACAGAATCACAACTTTGGGAGGCAAACTGTTCCATTGATTGATTTTTCTGTCTTTCAGGAAATTTCTTCTTAGTTCCATGTTGGATCTTCCTCAACGAGCTTCCTTTTTTGAAGAGGTTGATAAATACTGTCTTTCTGTCTTAATTTTCTGACAACTAAAAGTATCAGGAATACAGTGGGATGAATTATCTGTCGAGCCCCAGTTCTCTGTGGAGATTAACTAAAAAAAAAAAAAGATCATCCTGTTTTCCCGAGACAACAGAGAACATCTAAGAAACTTATTCTGGCCCTGACAATCTCTTTTTGAGAGCCACAAATGGTCAAATAGCGCAAAGCATTTTTTAAAAATTATATAGAATCATGTGATTTCTAAATTCAATATATCTGTTGATATATAACTGATCTGTTGTATTTAATTGAGTGGTGCAGCAGACTAATGCTACTGTTAAAGGTAGTATTTAGCTTCCAGCTGCCTGCAATTACTGCAAGTTCAATTCTCACCAGGCTGAAGGTTGACTCAGCCTTCCATCCTTTCTAAGGTAGGTAAAATGAGGACCCGGTTTGTGGGGGCAATAAACTGACTTTGTATAAAATATACAAAAGTATGAAGGCTATTGCTTAATGCCTTGTAAGCCGCCCTGAGTCTCCGGAGAAGGGCGGCATATAAATCAAAATAAAATAAAAAATAATAATTCATATTAAACCCATATGTTGTATTTAATACTTATTCTGATTTTTTATGGAAATGTTTTCCAATACTTTTGTGTATGAATCAACTATATTTAAATATAATATACAGATGACCTTATTAATAAACAATTATATACTTTATATTTGATATTTCCAGAGTAAGAAGTATCTTTCAATCAAAAAAGAATGCTAAGGAAATATGTTGATTTTGTTTAAAGTCATTTTCTTTTTCTTTTTTCTTTATCATCCTCAATTTCTCTTAGTATAATTTTCCAGAAATGTTATTCCTCTACTTTGTTATGCATGTATTAATGAATCCTTATACTTAAATTTAAGTGGAAATATTTATATTTACATAGGATCTCTCAGTACATTACTTTTCAATGGGGAAAAGTTCATCTCTTTTTATTAAACTTAAATGCATAAACTTCTTGGTTTTGACTATTGAGAACTGGGAGGCTCATCATTACAACAGAATAATGGTGACAACCTTTCTTTTGTTTGGAGACTGTGTGAACTATCAGGCATGAACATTAATCTTAAGGTGGTAAGTCCTGCTTTCAAAAGTAAATCCTGATATTGTGAGTCATGCCAAATCTTTCTGTAACTTATTGTTTAAGTAAGATTTGAGACTTTTGGTATGAGTGTGACTAATGTCTGGTGATGAGAAATTTGGGACCCAGAGGTAAGCGTGGGAAGTTATATGCAGGAGCTCTAGCAAGTCCTTAAGAGAAGGTGGGAATAGAGTTTAAAAGCATAATGGATTTCAGAATACAGTTACAGGTTATGATTTCAAGAAGAATTTTGAAAACCATAAGATAGCTAGGAACTGTCAAGGGCTGACAGGTAGCCATATCAAAATATTAATTTGACAGGAGTGAGAATATTAATTTTAAGGGTGGAAGAGGAAGGCTTCAAAGCTTTTTATATTGCTTTGATAACCAAGGATTCCTTCATGCTAACACAACAACAACAACAACGCTTATTAATGCTTCTTTGAGTGAGGGTGTCTTGCCGGCCGCCTTAAAAGAGGCGGTTGTGAGGCCTCTCCTCAAGAAGTCCTCCCTGGACCCGGCTGTTTTGGCTAACTATCGTCCAGTTTCCAACCTTCGCTTTATTGCGAAGGTTGTTGAGAGTGTGGTGGCGCGACAGCTTCCCCAGTACCTGGATGAAGCTGTCTATTTAGATCCGCTCCTGTCCGGTTTCAGACCTGGGTACAGCACGGAAACGGCATTGGTCGCGTTGGTGGATGATCTCTGGAGGGCTTGGGGTAGGGGTTATTCCTCTATCTTGGTCCTGTTAGATCTCTCAGCGGCTTTTGATACCATCGACCATGGTATCATGTTGTGCCGGCTGGAGG